TACACAGAAAAGAAATTACTCCAATAAAAGTAATTTTAGCTAAATAAAAATGGAAATGGAAATAGTTTAGCTGCAATAGAGAAAATGGATTAAGGTCTTACACTGGCTTAAATTGCATCCTCCTTAGAGAGTATTTTCTTCTACAAAAATTCATCAGTGTCATTAAAATTCCAATTAAAATGCTTCTACCCTTAAACAAAGACTGATGATGTCTTCGGGGAGAAAAAACTCCAGCAGCTCCAATGGATGGACCGGCACTACTTCCTGCTGTCCCAGAACACTCACTCCCAGGAGAACCTGGGACCATGGTGGCTCCAGAGCATCCCCGATCAGGAAGCTGCTGTACAGAGCACCCTAAACCCCCCAACAGGAGGCCGGCCCAAAGACTAATGGAGGAAACGACCTAAGCACTGCTGAGTGGTGACACCCTGGTCAGATTGGGGCTGGGGAGCGGCAGGGGAGATAAAGAGGAGGAGGAAGGCAGGGGCGGGACAGAGAGGAAGAGGGTGTGGGACAGAGGCTTCTGCCAGGTTGGCCAAGGAGCAGAGGGAGGCCCTGGTCCTCCAGCTTGTGCCCAGCACAGGTGAGATCTCAAAGGCCCGCTGGCTCCCCTAGACCTGATCCCCCCCCCTGACGACGGTCGGACCCTCACATGGTCTGTGGGTGCCCTGGTCTGGGGAGTTTCCCAAGCTGTGAGCCTTGCTGTGGGAGCGGAAGGGGCCCAGTTCCCGTGGCACCTGCCGCCCACTCTGTGCCAGCTTCCCGGGTCCTGGCGTCCTCGGGATTGTGGAGACCCCGAGGAGACGACATGTGGCCACTGGGTGGGCCCGTCCCTCCCTAACTGAAATGGAATGCTTCGGTCCTGAGGTGACTGGCACAGCATCTCATCCGTTTCCCTCTGCCCCCATCAGTTGCTGAGTATCTGTCGTCCTCGGGGAATTGACCAAACTGAGTTTCTGAAACTGAAGTTCCCCGTGGGGTCCCTGGTGACCCCTGCAGGGCCTTTCCTGGAAGCCCACTCTGTTCTTCCATGTCGTTTTAGCTGTGACCTAAGTTCGGGAACATTCCTTCACAAGGAGGACGGCAAGGCCCTTCCAGACCTGCAGGACAGACCCTGGGACCCCGCTCTGCTGCAGAAGTCTGAGGCAGGGAGCTGCTGAAATCCTTGGCAACATTTCAAAACAAACCACTCACACGGCTGCTGCCAAGTGGCTATTCTGAGCTTTTGGGAGTAAGAGAGATACAACAGATTGTTAGAATTAATAACTCCAATAAGAAAAGGTTTCCAAACCTCATTTTTCATTTTTCCCTCTTTACCCAGGCAGCACAAAACAAGCGCGTTAAGATTTCATGGAGGGGCCGGGACTGGGGTTCAGTGGCAGAGCCCTCCACTAGCGTGTGGGAGGCGCTGAGTTTGATCCTCAGCACCACATAAAGATAAATAACTAAAATAAAGGTATGTGTCCATCTACAACTACAAAAAAATTTTAAAAAGTTTTTTTAAAAAAAGATTTCATGGAAACATAATCTTGTTTCCCAAAGCCAGAAGCCAAGCAGCACCCGCCCCCCCAGAACCCCCCCCCCAGATTCACCAAGACTAACAGGAGCCACCAGCGAGGTGGCTCCAGCTCTGCCCCTTACTTCCGCCACGCAGCAGGTCATGTTACAGGAGCCTTGGGCCCTGATGAGAGCCACACAGAATGCTCACCGAAGCTCCCACTTACAGACAGACGAAGAGGGCGAGGTCTGGAAAGGGGTGCTGTAGCCTCGTGTCACTCGGCTGGAGAATAGGAGCTGGGATGGCCCCAGGGGAGTGACTCCAGAGCCCTCGCCTGCCCTCCGGTCAGCTCCTTCGGTCCCCTCTCCCTCCCCTCCTTCTTGCTTTGCAGACTTATTGAGGTATAATTTACATACTAAACAGCGACCCACTATAAGTATACCAGTCAGTGATCGCCATGGTCTAATTTTAGACCACGTCCATCACCCCAGGCTCCTTCTTTACAGGGACAGTCCATCTGTACTCCTAGCCCCACCCCAGATGATACTACTTTGCTTTCTAAAGATTTGTTCTTTCTGGACATTTGACATAAATGGAACACACAATGTAGTCTTTTGCATCTGGCTTACCTGACTCAACATGTTGATTTTAAGGTTTACCCATGAACCTTAAAAAAAAGTGTATCAATACTTTGTCCCTTTTTATTGCTCAGTAGTATTCCATTGGGTGGCTACACCACATGTTGATCGTCAATTCATCATTTGATGGACAATTGGGCTGAGTCCACTTTTTTTTTAAATATTTTTTTTTTGTTGTCAATGGATCTTTATTTATTTATATGTGGTGCTGAGAATTGAACCCTGTGCCTCACACACGCCAGGCAAGTGCTCTACCACTGAGCCACGTCCCCAGCCCCTGCGTCCACTTTTTGATTAGTAGATATAAAGTTGCTGTGGATACTCATGTACAAGTCTTTGTGAGGACATTTTCATTTTTCCTGGCTCTATGCCTAGGAGTGTAGTTGCTAAGATCTATGGTAACTAGCTTTTTGAAGGACTTTGAGGAACTATTCTCTAAAGTGGATGTGCCATTTTACATTCCCACCAGTAACCTGCGAGGGTTCCAGTGCCTCCCGTTCCCCACCAACGTTCGCCATGTCAGTCCTTTTGATCAGAGCCATCTAGTGGTGGAAAATGGGAGGTGCCTGGGGAGTTCTGATCTGCGCTTCTCCCGCAGCCAAGATGCTGCGCGTTTTCATTACTTACTGATCCTCATGCGCCTTCTCTGGGAGATGCTGTTCCTACTTTTATCATTTCTCTGCCTGTGTCTCTGTCTCTCTCACCAGGGTAACTAAGGCCTTGCCACTTTTGTTCTTTTCCTCTCTGGCTTACTGGATTCCTGACTCTGCTTGCTGGCATTGGGTTTGCTTGTGTTTTGTCTTCAGATGGAAGTGTTGGCTCTTCTCTGCTCCATCAGACCCCAGTTGGACCCTCAGAGAGGGAAGAGCCAGTGTCGGGGGCGACCCTGTCTGTAGAAGGTCTCTACCTTCAGAGCAGCCTGGGGGCGGGCAGCCCAGGCAGGACGGGCAGGCCCCCGGGATTGCCCGACCTGCAGTCGTTTCCCCTGAATACAGGCCACTCCTCCCTCCACGCTGCCAAGTCCCAGAACCACGAATTGGCTGTTTCTGAAACTTTTGCTTCGTGTGGAAGGAGTCTGTCCAGTGGGTCATTTCTGCTATGCCAAGGTCCTGCCTCTCCAGTCCCTCTTCTTTCTTTCACAGTAAACCAAGTTCATTGCCGCTGTCCCCCAATCCAGCTCTCTCGTGGAACCCATGCCCAGGATTTAGAAATGGGGCACAGCCGGTTCTAGAAATACCGCTCTGGGATCATCAACCTCTGCGACCGTCAGTCCTCCTGACTTCCTCGGTGCCAACGAGGACAGAAGGAGACTGCGTCTAGAATCTGCATTTTCAACAGAGAACCCCAGTGTTTCGGTCACTTCCAGGGCAGGAAACCTGTCCCTGATCTGGCTGATTTGGCAGCTGCTCCCTTTGCTCTCTGGGGAGCAGCAGGAAGTCACATACCCTCAGCGCAGTGGCTGGGCTCGTGCACTGAGTGTGGCATAGACTAGGCATCTCCTTCTGCCCCTTGAAGGAAACCAGCCTGATCTCCCTCTGCCCAGTGATGGAAGGAGCTGGGAAGAACAAGGGCAGGGACCTGGAGACCCGGGTTCTAGGCTCCAGCTCTGCCACTCGTTCAAGCCCTTCTTTGGGGCTTAGTTTCCTTATTTATTAAATGGGTGTAATAATGTCATCCTCACGAGGTTGCCTGATGGGAAAACAATGCGGGGTGGCCATGATGGGCTTCAAGACTGATGACAGTGCTATCACAGGTGAGGCTGTGTGTGAATTGGCGAGCCTCATCCTGAGCCCCGAGACTGAGCAGCTAGGAAGGAAACTGTCTTCCTCACGGCTGCTTCTTCCTTTCCCCTTCTCCTCTCCTCAGGACACAAGAAGGCTGCGTATCAGCAGATGTCAGCATGTGCTCCCACGATTGACTACTGCTCTATTCCCAGATGACAGGGATGAAAGATGAAGCCAGGGATTGAGGGAAGGAAACATCTGTGCTTAGGCATTTGAGGAATAGTAAGACCAGAGCGGAGACTTTCTAGTAAGAGCCACACTTTAAATCTGCTTACACCATAAATAAGGGGATCTCGTTAGCTTTTGTAGAGGCTGCAAAGGGAGGTCCGTGGAACAGGACGGAAGCATCTCTGCCAAGTGGTTTCTCAGGCCTTTGTGTTCGTGCTGAGCCATCCCAGTCCCTCTGCCACGCAGGTTAAACTGACTGACACTCAACAGCAAAGCCAGAGTCACAAGTGCAGATTTTAAGAGCATTAAATAGCAAGAAAAAGCACTCTTTTTAATTAAAAAAAAAAAAAGGCTTCAAGAGTCTATTGTGTGAGCAATTAGGATCTGTCTAAATACCTCCAAAATGGATTAGTGTAGACATTTTAACCTCGGGCTTTAATTTGTAAGGAAAAGAGTCATTCATCTCACTAAACATCACAAGTCTATATTGTTCTTGTGCCTGAGAAGGGAAGTGCTGGTCCTGGAGGGATACACAGGACAGCAGGCTCAGGAGACTTTGTTAGGAACTAGCTGAGCCACAGTGACGGCCACTGCAGATCTGTCACCTCCGAGGCTGGTCATGAGAGCAGGCCTGGACCCAGGGCTTCAAAGAAAGACCTAGAACCGGGCTCGCGGGTGGGCCTGGCACAGCCCAGGCGCCAGCAGCCCCGGCCTCAACACTGCCCACCCAGCCTCCGCCCCACCTCCCGCCCCACCTCCCATCCCACCTCCCGTCCGCTCATGGCTGATCCCTCCCGGTCGCCCCTCCCGCTGGCCAGCGCCCTGCCCCTCCTGCGTGGGCACCTCAGCCTGTCCTGCCCACTGGGGTGGCACAGGCGGGAGGCCACCGGAGCCAAGGGCTGGCAGGATTACCTATTTGTCTTTCCAGGTCAGCGGCCTCCTCCGGCGTGGCTCGTGGGAGGACCCCGGGGTCACTGAAGCTGGTGCGGAGCAGGGTCCCCATCACGAAGAAGAAGAGGATGCCACCGACCACGGGGATGGCGGGGGTGATCTTCACCGCTAGGTACGGACAGCTGCAGGGGAGAAGAAGGGAACGCAGGGTTAGATGGGCAGAGAGCGGCACCCCCTTCCCGGACGCCAAGACCTCCCGGAGGAGTGACACTGTACAAAGAAGTCACACCTAGGGGACCCGCCACTGGCTCCTGTGGACGAGCGGACCCTCCTTCCCCAGCGGGATGCCGCACCCTCTGCTCCCCAGGAGAGCAGCTGGCAGAGGCTGGGGATGGTCCTGCCGGCACAACCAGCCTGGGGTGTGCAGGGCTGTGTGCATACCCACGGGCCCCTTGCACTGCACACTCCAGGTGTTTACAGTCTGCGGTGCCCACTGGCCCTTGGACTCACAGGACAGAAGACATGAGTTAGAACCGCCGGCATCAGAACCGGCCTTTCCTGCTCGGGTCCAAATACTCGGACAATCTGCCAGCACAAGACCTCGAGGACTGAGTTCATTTGCAAAAACCAAGAAACCATTTTTCAATATTTTTTGGAGGTAATCTCTCCAAAAGAGGCTAAGGAGCTAAGGACATGAACCTGCAGGGGGGTCTCTGAAGAGGCTTGAAGGGATTTCAGTGGCTAAACCACACTAATTCCAAAAGGCATTTGAGCTACCAATCGATGAACAATTCTTTTCATTCTTTTTGTGGTTGGATGACTTTTTTTTTTGTTCTAAGGATTGAACTCAAGGGTGCTCAGCCAGAGCCCCATCCCCTCAGCTTTTTATATTTTATTTTGAGACAGGGTCTTGCTAAGTTGCTTAGGGCCTCACTAAGTTGCTGAGGCTGGCCTTGAACTCACAATCCCCCTGCCTCAGCCTCCAGAGCCACTGGGATTGCTGGCATGTGCCATCACACCCGGCTGTTTAAGAGGCAGGGCCTGGCTCTGTTGCCTGGGCTGTTCTCCAACTTTGGACTCTGGTGATCCTCCCACCCCAGCCTCCCGAGTAGCAGGGACTACAGGTGTGCCCCTCTGCTAACCCTGAATTCTGTGGTGAGCCGGGTGATGTGCTAAAGCCTGCCCCAGGCCAGCCTGGGAGCTGGCACTGCCTCAGATCAAGGAGTTTAGGAGCTGGGCAGGTCTGAGCATTAGGCCTGGCCCACGGTCACGGCTCCTGGACTTCATGGAGATGGTGGGAGGCAGACCTGAAAGTCAACACAACACCGAAGCTCCAATGAAGAAGGGCTCTGGCATGACCACGGTCAGTCTCTTGTCACCATGCTGGGTGACACCATAGGTACAGAAAAACATGGTGTCGCCTCCTCAGAGGTCCCCACAGCTGCTCGAGATGGCCAAGAGCAGAAGGTGCAGGACCTCAGTTCTCCGCTCAGGACTCGGAGGTGGACGGGGGCTTGGTTCTGGAAGCTATGGGACCAGCGCCGCGCGCATGCTCCAACAAGACATCAAGGGAGGCTGGCACCAGTCACGGCCCGAGGACCACAAGCCAAGAGCCCCTTTTCTGAGACCACAACCGAAAATCTGGCCCACCAGCCTTGGGGACATACATGCTGCTAATTGGACAGTGACCGAACTGAGGCCGAGGCCTTTCTGTATCCTCAGTCCTGCCGAAATTCAGAGACGTCCCTGTGACTTTAAGAAGGTGGAGACTGACCCCAAATGTAACTAGGTGGACGGCCGTCCCCAGGAGGACCACCAGATAGAGGCACAAAGCTACAGCATTTCCACCCCGCTGTCCCTGCTCCCACACCAACCACCTTGCAGAAACAGAACAAAGCAAAACCACCAGGAATCAACATGGTGGACGGCCAGGTGAGGCGTCTCTCCACGGGCTTCTTGGGAAACCAGAACACACGAATAGCTGCCGTTCTCACCTCAAGGTAGCCCCCCCAGACCCTCCATGTGGACCTTCCTGCACCCTCATAGAGCCTCATGGGAAAGAGAAGTCAGCCGGGAGAGTGAGAAGACACTGAGAGCTTGCTGCAGGAAAAAGGAATGATGAGAGTTTGACCTAAAGAGCTCCCTGCTGTCCCCCAAACTTCACAGGTGGGAAACTTCATCCCCAAAGCAGCCGTGTTGAGAGGTGGAGTCTTTAAGAAGTAATTAGGTCACCAGGGCTCAGCTCTCACCAATGGATGCGGGTCACCATCACAGGAGTGGCCTCCACGCTGCAGAAGTGGGTTTGCTATGAAATCTGCATGAGAAGACTCAGTGCCCAGGCCCTTGCCAGATGTGGGCCCTTGACCTTGGACTTCCCAGCCTCCAGAACTGTCAGAAATAAATCTCTGCTCTCTTTTAGTTACGTAGCCTCAGGCATTCTATTATAGCAGCACAAAATGAACCTTCTCTGTAGAAGTGTTCACTCACGTTAGGGAAAATTTTCTTTAATCCAACTGATTTTGTTTTATATAAAAGGGAACCACTGTTTTTCCTTGGAAGTTTCTAGCTAATTTTCTTTAACGGGCTCCTGTCTTTTCTAAACCATTTGATTTTATGCTTTTAAGTGCTGAAAAGCTTCAAGTTAAATATTGAAGAGAGTAGGGACACATCATCAGACAAATAGCACTCTGTTTATACTCCTGGACCCGCAGAGGAAATCTTTTCCTGCCACAGAGATCTCTGGAATTTTAAAAGATGGTGCCATGCTGTGGTGTGGGCCTAGGCTCTGGGATCTGACACAGAACTTGCAATTCAATTGGAGACATGTGGAGAATAGAAAATCTCTCCAGGGGATGACCATTTTCCCTTTAGAGATTCAATATAAAGTGACAATCAAAATCTACTTAATGATGTGTTGAACTCAGAATCCAAAACACTGGTGAGGGCTACGACTCTGTAGAGACAGCACCTCTTCAGGGCAAGGCTAGTGTGATAATGGGGCACATTCCACGAAGGGTTGGTGATAAGTGTCAACTGCTGCCAGTCTGGTGTCTCAGCCTCTGTCGGAGACATCAGCCTGGGGTTAATCTAAACCCAGACCTCCAGGAACTCATTAAAGGAACTGCATTGTGACATAGGATAGGACATTAGCTTTGTTGCTCTTATTGTCATGTCAGAAGCAGCCTCACATTCTATTAAGCCTTGAAAAATGTGCTGGTCTATCACAATCGGAAATAAACAACCCATGTCAAGTTTGGGCAAAGCCATAGGCCAATGTCAAATTTGCTGACATTGATAATGTGCACCATAGTCATGTGAGAGGCCCCTCTTCTGAGGACATACACTGAAGTATTCAGGAGTAGAGTACCACGAGGAAAATACTGTGTAGAGAGAGAAAATGGGATAAATACTCACAGCAGGTGCTGGGTAAAGGGTATGTGCATGTTCTTTGTACGATTACAATGATTGCAACTTTTCTGTGAGTTTGAAATTAATCCAAATAAAAATTAAAAGAAACACAAACCATATTGAAAACATGAAATTAGCCTTGGTACTAAGCAACAGATTTCATGTTACATGCACTAGTCCTGGCACACGTACATAAATGTCTATAGGTGTTACGGGTATGAGGTGTTGTCCCCCAAAGCTCCAGTTAATGCAGGACTATTCAGAGGTGAAATGACTGGACTGTGAGAGCTGTCACCTGATCAGTTCATCCCTGTTTTAACGGACTGACTTGGAGGCACCTATAGGCAGGTGGGGTGTGGCGGGAGGACGGGGGTCTCTGAGGAGGTGCCCTGGTAGGGTGCATCTCGCCTGTGGCCCCTTCCCCCACACTCCCTTCCCAACCCCACCGTGAGCTGAGCAGCCTTCCTCCTCCGCTGGGCCCTTCCCCCATGGGTGCTGCCTCACTCAGGCCCGCAGCAATGGAGTCGGCCACTCATGAACTGAGTCCTCTGAACCCTGAGCCCAAATCGACTCTTCCTCCTCTAAGTTGTTCTTGTCAGGTATTTGGGTCACAGGAATGCACAAGCTGACTAACACAGGAGGAAATTCTTCTTTTTATATTTTCTAACATAATGGCTAGGTAAATGACTTGTGTAAAAGAGAATTTTCCAAAAAACTCATAACTAGACATAATTTGATTAATGGCAGAGAATAAAACAGGCCCATGTCTTTCTTCTTTCTCATTATTAACGAATTTGAGTGAGAAAAGATCGGTGCAGTGGACAGGCCTCTTTGGGTGGCTGAGAGGTGAGCCAGGCAGAGCCTGGTGGCAGGGTGCACTCCTGGTCCAGGGTCTAAGTTGTGACTTCTCCTCTCCGTTTTTGCGCCTCCAAGGGAAGATACTTCAGAATGGTCAGACCCTCCCGTGAGGGTGGCTTAGTAGATCTCAGATTTTGGCATGTTTGTTTTTCCCTTTTGGGGTCTGAAATGTACCTTGGCTGACCTCAAAGCCTGCCTGTGCCAAGTCACAGAGGTGGCCTCTGTAAGGCCAGCAGTGGTAATGAGTCCCCCTGGCCTGAACTGTCCCCGTGTGCTGCAGGTAGGGCTGCCCTCTTCAACGGCTACCCCTCTAATGGCCATGACGATGCTCCAGAGGCCTTTCCTGGCCTCCCCAGGTGAATGGCTGACACTCAGCAATTAGAGGTCAATGGCTTTAACTAAGGCTTCTGTCCCCTGGCACATTTTCACCCTGGAGACAGTGCATCGTGGTTGAAGTTATTTGCACTGAGCGCACATTCATCTCTTCAGTCCTGTTCCTGGAGAGCAGGGAGAGGAAGAGTAGAGGTGACCTGCAGGGGTTCCTTCTGCAGCTGGTTGTGGAACAGGTGGCATGAGTCCAAGCAGACGCCCCTGTCTCCCCGGCAGCCTGCTCCTGCTCTGCGTGAAGACTCAGCCAGGCCTCACAGCTCCTGATCATAATGGGAAGGTACAGGAGTCCTCCGCCCCTTCAAGCAGCAGGCATTCAAGTACATAAGAGGGCAGTCGCAATGGAGACTTCTAATGGGACTTTAAGTGGAGCCCCTCCATTCCCTAGCTGGCCAGCTGCAGTTCCTGGCCCCTCCCTGGCTGGAGCACAAAGCAGATGGCGTGGGTAGGAGGGCAGGAAGGTCCCCATTGGAACAGTCCTGTCACAAGGTGACTTTGCGTGCTCTAGTCTACCAGATGTTTAGAACTG